CCCCCCCCCAATCTCTACGGCACTTGCACACACATGGCTTGGTGGGACCAATGCCATCTCCCCAGTTCCAGATTCAAGAACAAGGTCAGTGGCTAGATGGAGGCTAGACATGGGGACTTGGCTAGACCAATGCCACCTTCATTTACCTCTAACCGTCTCTCTGCAAAAATCAATACAGGCCCACAGTCCCTTTCAAAATGACCTGCAGAGTCTGTTCCTGGGAGGACACCAACGTGTGCTTTTCTGCCCTGGGCCCTGCTTTCTCCCCTTGGTGTCAGGTCTGTCTCTAGTGTGACTGATTCCTAGTAGCCTGGGGCAGCTGGCTGCTGAGATTCACATGGAACCTGACGTTCTGGTGTCCAGGAGACCTGCCGCAGCCACCAGGTGGGACGGAGGGACAGCGAGGCCGCCGCACGGGGCCCGGGGGGCCTCCCAAGCTTACCTGATGAGGATGATGACGGAGGGCGTCTGTGCCATTGCCCCGATCATGCTGCAGACACACATCACGCACAGGAAGGTGAGGAAGGCCTCTTGGCACCCAGGACTGGGGCATTTTCCGGGGACCACGGTCGCATTCTCAGGCGGGCCGCCCGTGAGGCACGCACAGCCGGTGAGATTCTGGAAAGAAGCATTCGGCCCTTTTAATTGGGGTATTTCCAGAGCCTAATCCAAAGCCATCCATCAGCTGGGGCTGTCACAGCCCAATTATGCATTCCGTAGCATCCCGTTAATTAGGCCTAAATAAACGAGTTAGCTTTTTAAGGAGGCTGCAGAACACACGCAAATAAAGGAGTATTTATGGGGAGGAGAGCCGAGTCCCCGTCTCCTGTGTATCTCCTTTCCCAGCTCAAGAATCTCTTGGAAAGCTGCAACGCAGACAAATGTGCCCCCCAATACAATTAGAGGGGAAACTGCGCTCCCACAATATGATAAAACATTGCCAAATTAACGCTGTAATTACTTGCCAATTTGTCCTTTCTTCCATGCAGTTATAATCACACTGAAGCGTATTAAAAGAAGTAAATCAGGTAAGCTGCATAGTGTCGCTGGTTCGGCGCCCAGTGTGGCACTGGGAACAAAGGACGTGCCCTGTCAGGTACGGAGCTGCTGCAATCGGGGGGCCTAGAGACGGGGGGGCTAATGGGAAGGTTCTCCAGTGGCCAGGAAGCAGAGGGCTGAGGGGTTCCAGGGGGCGCAGAGCGATGTGGGGGGCCAGCTGCAGCCCAGCGAGACACACTCATCCATACACGACCCGAGGAGGAAGAAGAGCCACCGTGTTCCCTCTGATCCCCCCGAGATCGCCCCAGGCGCCCCCGTTCCCAGGCACGGCCCTCGCTCACACTGCAGGAATTTCTATGGCAAAGGGAGGCGCAGGGGCGGGAGAGGCAGTGCCCAGCCAGCGCCAAGCCAATTAAGGTTCGATGATAATAGCGCCGGGGCCTTTAATGAATGCGAAATGAAAACAATCATAAATAATTCACTGCTTCCTTTCCAGAGCTGCTCAGCTTTCCGAGCACACGGGGTGAATTCTCCTGAGGGTCACCCCCACTTTAGCGTCCGCCTTCCAGC